ATACTCCGTATACAAGATCGGCACGAAGAAAGGGAAACACGCACCAAGCACACAACACAACAAACCTCGGCCAAGCTGTTAAGCAAAATTTTGTGCAGCACTAAAAGACACACATCACTACGCATCGTTCTTGGCCTCTTTTTCCTCTCCCTCCTGCTCCATGGCCCGCTTCTTTTCCTTTTCCTGCTTCCACTTCTTGAATGTCCTTTTCGCCCTCGTCCACGTCCATCAAAATCGCGCCATCATGGCCACCCGAGAGCGCACCGCCAGCGCCTGGAGATGGAAGATCATGTTGCTGCGTCGGCTTCGGTTTCTTCGAAACCGCTCGGCCATCGGCTCCGCGCGGGCCGAACGTCTTCTTCTTGGACCGTCCCTGAGGCTTCCCCATGGTGCTTGCGTGCGTCTTTCGTGTTTTCGGGCCGCCACGTGTGCGTGTTGTTGTGTGTTCGTCTCGTCTTGCCCAACGAAAAAAATCTCCCATGGGGACGGCACAACAAAAAGTTGAATATCTCGGAAACTAGATTTTTCCCGACAAAAACCACAAATATCGACCTAGATATTGAGGAGAGGAATCGTTTGCCGCTGTTTATTTTGAAATCGGTCGGTTAGTTATCCCCCGAAAAACAATACAAGTTAGCCCTCTAGATCCGGTTTTTCTCTGATATCTCCGTGAATTTACAATATTTTGACCAAAACAAAAATACCGACCTGGCAAATCCCGACATCTGTTCAAATCCGTTGAGTTTTTTCGAATTGGCAAAGAACACACCCCTGCGAAAACAATTCAAGTTTTTCCGGCTTTGCGCCGATAAAAAGTCAAGAAAAAAAAAACGTCACGCGATGCGCCTGCAAACAGGGCGTTTTCCGGTACTGTACTTTCAGATTTCGGAACAACCACCTGTGGGCAGAGAAAAGTTGTCATTTGTGCTGGGAAAATTTTGGATTTTTNCCCTTCGAAAACAATTCAAGTTTTTCCGGCTTTGCGCCGATAAAAAGTCAAGAAAAAAAAAACGTCACGCGATGCGCCTGCAAACAGGGCGTTTTCCGGTACTGTACTTTCAGATTTCGGAACAACCACCTGTGGGCAGAGAAAAGTTGTCATTTGTGCTGGGAAAATTTTTGATTTTTTGGTGTGCACAGACTATAGGAATGCAGGAGACACGGAGAGCAGGTCGAACGGAATTTGCAGCAGCGGGTTTCCGGGTGTTCTGCTGTG